CTGGGAGGTTCACAATAAATTTAGAACATTGCATGATTAACATACGTGTAATAAATTTTAGGAATACGATTTATCACGTGTGCAATTTTTGAGATAATCGTGAAATTGAATGTGTTTTATTCACATGAATTCAGACTAGGAATAGGATCAGGTCTTGAATAGGATAGTTTTAATTTGTCTTGGAAAGGAAAATTAATTATAATAAAATTATCAATTGTCAAGAATGCAAGAGCGAAACTAGCTACGTAGTCGAGAATTGGAATAGATAAATAATAGGTGGATTCGTAATCCAATACACTCTTCCCATGTACATTTTAAATTCACATTTTATACGTTTTCGTAGATTAAATTAGAATAATTAAAAATCACAAAAATCACTTTTAATTTGTTCGATTTGAATCTAATTAAAGACTACTACACTTAATTAAATTTTATTTCTCGTGGGACAATACTCTAACTCACTAAATCTACTACTCGTACAAACCTAAAAAAAATAAAATAAGGAGTACTTTTCTTTTTCATGTGGTGAGTTATGAGGAGTAACATTAATCACAACATCTCTATACAATGCAAGACAAGCTTGTAAGACTCAATGGAAGTAAAAACTCACTATTTGACCAGATTAAAAGAAAGTAAAACATCCAGCCTGATTACGTTGGTCATGCCCGACGATATCTATAAAAATAGCTACTTGTTCCTCAATTCGAACATGTTTACGATCCATAAGTTCACAAATGAGCACAATAATCTTTGAAATGGACCTATTTTCATCCTAAGTAGATCTTGAATTATTGTATCACCCATACCAAACATTCATATAAATGTGATTTCTCTTTCAAGAGATGTCGTTCACAATGTTGTGATTCTCCGATCACGTGAAGAGAAAATAAAAGAGGAAAAACAATTCTATTTCTACTTGAATAGAATTTACAACGGAGTTTACAAACCCAAAAAAAACCTCTCAAAAGAGTCTCTCTAATCTCTCTTTTTTTTCTCTCTTCTCTATCCTATTTTTCTTCCTCTCAAAGGACATATTAATTCTCTTTACGATAGCTCTATTTATAGAAAAATCTTGGCTACAAACCGTCATAAACTTGTGGCCAAAAATCAATCAAGAATTGCGGTTAGAGAATTTCATTTCAAATTCTCTTCTTGCATAGATTTCTTCTCCACTAAGCAATCGAAGTTGTGGCCGTCAAAAGGTAGAGAGTTTTAATTCAAATTTTTCTTTTTCATCCTTCATGCATGCATGTTGGTGGGAATTACTTGTTTATTAAGCAATTGAAATTTCAACAATTTCGGCATGGAAGAATCTTGAATGCGGCTGGAATATATCAATTCTCCCCCTCTAGTCGCATTCAAATCAATTGCTATCGGACAACTAACCCAGCTATGTCTCTGCATAGCTCTAACTTCTCCCTTATAACGACCTTTGTTAACATATCTGCTGGATTCTCATTTGTGTGAATCTTTACTAGTCTCAACAGCTGTTGATCCATCACCTCTCTTATCCAATGATAGCGAATGTCAATGTGCTTTGTTCGAGAGTGATACATTGAGTTCTTACTCAAGTCAAGAGCACTCTGGCTGTCACAATGTACATTATAATCTTCCTGCTTGATCCCTAATTCTTGGAGAAATCTCTTTAACCACAACATTTCTTTACCTGCTTCCGTCACTGCAATATATTCTGCTTCTGTTGTAGATAAAGCAACACACTTTTGTAGTCTTGACTGCCATGAAACAGCTCCCCCTGCAAAAGTGTAGAGAAATCCTGAAGTAGATTTTCTACTGTCAAGATCTCCCGCCATATCTGAATCTATATAACCTTCCAAGATTGGATCAGTTCCCCCATAGCACAGACATATCTTTGATGTACCTCTGAGGTACCTGAGAATCCACTTGACTGCCTCCCAATGTTCCGTTCCAGGATTAGAAAGAAAACGACTCACCATGCCTACTGCATGGGCAATATCTGGCCTTGCACATACCATGGCATACATCAGGCTTCCAACTGCTGAAGAATAAGGTATGAATGACATTTCCTTTATCTCTTTCTTGGATGAGGGGCATGAACTTTTGCTCAACTTGAAGCGGTTGGCCAATGGAGTGTTGACAGGTTTGGCATTATGCATGTTGAATCTCTTGATCACTCGTTCAACATACTTCTCTTGGGATAGCCACAACCTTCTATTCTTCCTATCTCGAGTTATGTGCATTCCCAAAATCTGTTGAGCTAAGTCTAAGTCCTTCATGTCGAAGAACTTGGAGAGTTCCTTCTTCAGCTGCCTGATTTTTATTGCATCTTGTCCGACGATCAGCATGTCGTCTACATACAATAGAAGAACAACAAAATTGCCATCCAAAAAGTGTTGAATATAAACACACTGATCCGCAGCTATTCTTTTATAGCCTTGACTCACCATGAAAGAGTCAAACTTTTTGTACCATTGCCTGGGTGCTTGCTTTAGACCATATAAGCTCTTCTTTAGCTTACAAACGAAGTTTTCTTTCCCTGAAACTTCAAAACCTTCTGGCTGCTCCATATAAATTTCTTCATATAAATCACCATAAAGAAATGCTGTTTTGATATCCATCTGTTCAAGCTCTAGATTCAGACTGGCTACTAATCCAAGGATAACTCGAATTGAGGCCATTTTTACAACAGGAGAAAAAATCTCGTCAAAGTCAACTCCCTTCTTCTGAAGAAATCCTTTGACTACCAAACGGGCTTTATGTTTTACCACCTTTCCACTGCTATCATTCTTGAACTTGAAAACCCATTTATTCCTTAATGTCTTCTTTCCCTTCGGAAGTTCAACTAACTCATATGTTTGATTTTTCTGCAGTGACTCCATCTCATCCTGCATTGCTTGTATCCACTTGTCTTTGTCCATATGAGTTTGTGCTTCCTGAAAGCTCTCTGGCTCTCCTTCGTCAGTGAACAAAAGGTACTCTGATTCTGGATATCTCGTTGATGGAATCCGTCCTCGTTCAGATCTTCTTACCTATGGATCGTTGATTTCAGGAGGTGCATCATCATCTGAATGATATGATGGTCCAACAACTTCTGGTGAAGAGGATTGTGACTCCCCCTGATCAATATCCCCTTCTTCATCCTCCTGTTCTGCTTCCGGCATTTCCTCATGCTCATCGTCGTTATCTATGGTGAATTGTGTTGGTGCTGGATCTGGAGCAATATTTTGGGCACCAAAATTAGAATTAGGAGATGTTGTGAGCTTTTCAATGTCTTCTAATGTTTGGTTTTCATAGAATACTACATCCCTGCTTCTGATGACCTTCTTTGTCTTTGGGTCCCATAATCTGTATCCAAATTCCTCATCTCCATAGTCTATAAAGATGCATGGAGTGGTCCTTGCATCTAGCTTTTGTCTTAGCTCTTTGGATACATGTGCAAAGGCTAAACAGCCAAATACTCTCAGGTGAGAATAGGAGGGATATTTACCAGACCATACTTTCTCCGAAATTTCAAAATTCAACGGTACAGATGGTGATCTGTTGATCAAGTAGCAGGCGGTTCAAACAGCTTCTCCCCAAAATGGCTTTGGCAGCTTAGCCATACTTATCATGCTTCTGACCTTTTCCATGATTGTCCGATTCATCCTCTCAGCGACTCCATTATGTTGTGGAGTACGTGGGACCATCTTCTCATGTCGAATGCCGTATGTCTTGCAATAGGCATCAAACTCTTTGGAAGTATACTCGCCTCCATTATCTGTGCGGAGACATTTCAGCTTCTTTCCTATTTCACGCTCTACCATGGCATGAAATGATTTGAAGTAATTCAATACTTGGTCCTTTGTCTTCAAGAAATATGCCCACACCTTTCGAGAAGCGTCATCAATGAATGTTAAAAAATACTTGTTACCGCCTAGTGATTCAACCTCCAAGGGACCACAAACATCAGAGTGTACTAGATTGAGCAACTCTGATCGTCTCGTAGAAGAGAAATTGAAGGAGACTCTATGTTGCTTACCAAATAGACAGTGACTGCAAGGATCCAGCGCAACTTCCTTAGCAACTGTGATTAGCTCCTTCTTTGTCAAAATAGACAATCCCTTCTCACTCATGTGACCAAGTCTTTGGTGCCACAAATTTTGAGAAGGTTCACGTTCTACTACGTTGAGGCTATCCGCATGTATTTTCATATGAGTCTTGTATAAAGTGCCGCATATATGTCCTCGAGCGACAACCATGGAACCTTTCATCATTTTCCATGTGCCATTGCTAAATTGATTGACATAGCCCTGTTTGTCAAGGGCTATCCCTGAAAGTAGATTTAGCCGAAGATCAGGTACATGTCGAACGTCCTTCAGGGTTATTTTACACCCGAGGTTCGTTTGTATCTTAATATCACCAATTCCTATAATCTTAGAAGAACTGGTATTTCCCATCTTCACTGCACCAAAGTCACCGACTTTGTATGTTGTGAAGAAATCTTTGCGTGGAGTGGCGTGATAAGATACTGCAGTGTCTATTACCCACTCAATATCTTGGTTTGAGACATGAAGACATGTCTCCTCATGGATGGAGCAGATAGCCACCTCTCCAGAAATATTGACTAGTGTCTCTCCTTCCTTATTTTTTGGCTGCGAACTGTTGTGGCCTTGCTCTTGTAGCAATTTTCTGCAGTTCTTCTTCAAGTGGCCCTCCATACCACAATAGTAGCACTTATAAGTAGGCTTCCTTCCATCTATAGATCTACCCCTACTTTTGCTTCTACCTCTCCCCCTGCCTCGAACGCCTCCTTGTTGTCTACCTCGGTTCACTGTGACAAGGGCATGTGATTGGTTCGTGTCTATGTCTTTTCTTCTGGCCTCTTCATTAAGTAGGGCATCCTTAACCATAGACATGGTAAGTTTTCCATCAGGGGCTGAGTTGTTAAGAGATACTACTAATGTCTCCCAACTATCAAGAAAAGAACTTAAAAGTAGTAAAGCTTGTGTTTCATTCCCAAGCGGCATCTCCACAGATGACAATTAGTTTACCAAGCTCTGAAATTCACTGGTGTGCTCAGCAACTGAAGTTCCACTCTTTAACTTCAGATTCACCAAACGCCTCATCAACAGGGCTTTGTTTCGAGCGATCTTGGCTTGGTACATGTCCTCCAGAATCTTCCAGAGAGCATATGCATCTGTCTCCTGTGCTACATGGTGAAAAACACTATGGTCAATCCATTGTCGAATTTGACCGATAGTTTTTCTATTTAGCTTCTTCCACTCCGCCTCTTTGGTAGGATCGGGGTTTTCACCTTTGGCTTCCAAGGGATCATACAAATCCTTACAACTAAGGAGATCTTCCATCCGAGGCCTCCACAGTGTGTAATTGGTGGCAGTGAGTTTGATCATAGCTCCTGATGAAGATTCCTCCATTGACGTCTTGACTTGCAAAAGCTTTATCAAAACTATGAGGGTTAATTGATGAACCTGACTCTGATACCACTTGTTGTGATTCTCCGATCACATGAAGAGAAAATAAAAGAGGAAAAACAATTATATTTCTACTTGAATAGAATTTACAACGGAGTTTACAAACTCAAAAAAAACCTCTCAAAAGAGTCTCTCTAATCTCTCTTTTTTTTTCTCTCTTCTCTATCCTATTTTTCTTCCTCTCAAAGGACATATTAATTCTCTTTACGGTAGCTCTATTTATAGAAAAATCTTGGCTACAAACCGTCATAAACTTGTGGCCAAAAACCAATCAAGAATTGCGGCTAGAGAATTTCATTTCAAATTCTCTTCTTGCATAGATTTCTTCTCCACTAAGCAATTGAAGTTGTGGCCGTCAAAAGGTAGAGAGTTTTAATTCAAATTTTCTTATTCATCCTTCATGCATGCATGTTGGTGCGAATTACTTGTTTATTAAGCAATTGAAATTTCAACAATTTCGACATGGAAGAATCTTGAATGCGGCTGGAATATATCACACAACACCTAATGTCATTATATGTCACAATTGCTTTGATGACCATCATCCCAAATAAACCTAAATGTTGTCATTGGTGTCGACGTTGATTCCTTGTTGTAGCCATGTTGCGAACTATCATGTTAAACAAAAATTCAGTAAAATTAACATATAAATTAGATAAGTATATGCGATAAATAATAAATTTAATCATTTCATCACATTTGGTCTTTTTTTTTAAGCATAGATTAACAAGAAAAAAGGAATGCATAATTTCATATTGCAACGGGACAAACTAAAGTGTAAATATGCCATCAAATAGCATTTTCTATTACGTTGAATCAGCAAAGATTATTGTAATGCGTGAAAATTTACTATACGAATTAAGCTCAAAAACTAATCATAATAGAAGCCGTTGATTCCTAGTTGTAGTCATGTTACGAACTATCACGTTAAACAAAAATTCAATAAAATTAACATATAAATTACATATTATAATTATATATGATAAATATAAAATTTAGTAACTTCCTCACATTTGGTCTTTTCTTTTCTTTTTTAACGCATAGATTAACAAAAAAGAATGCATAATTCCATATTGCAACAGGACGAACTAAAGTGTGAATATGCAATCAAATAGCATTTTCTATTACGTCGAATCAGGAAAGATTATTGTAATGCGTAAAAATTTATTAAGCTTAAAAAACTGATCAAAACTAAAGTTATGTTATGTTTTCTCATCTGAACATGCTAAATTATATTTCCTAACTCTCCAATTTTGTTAATTTACATAATAATTAACGTTGTTTGGTTTCATGTTGATACTTAATGATGTTATATTGATTTAATGTTATTTTTTTAACTGAGTGAATGTTAGTGGAACAGCTAGAAATTTGAGTGACTATTAAGAAAATAAATTCAATGGTCATGACATAATTACTCAATATTTCAATGATCATTAGCGTAATTAATCCTGGGTTTATAAGTGCTTGATTTTTAGTCTTTGAATTGGTTTGGACTAAAAAAAGTAAAGACCAGGCTACATGTACCGAATTTTTTTTATCTAATCCCTTGTCGACTACTCAAAATACGAGGCGGGGACCATATTTTGGAATTTTTTTATTCAAGCGGGTCATGCGTGCATGTGAGAGGGAGTAAACTATTCGATATACCTTTAGATGTACAAATAGAATTGTTCAAAAAGTAATATAGAAAAGTGTATTGAGCTGTTCAAAATAAGATAATTTAAAGTTACAACTTAAAATCGATTGTTTGAATAATCTGAATTTCGATGTAGACCCTAGGGGTAAGGTGGTGAAAAGGATAGAAAATTTGAATTAAACTTTCATACTTTGTCCTCAATTGCTCATTCTAAATTAGTTTTTACCATCTACTCATCTAGGACCCAAATCCAATAAAGTCCTCCATTCAAATATTTTCAATTTTTAGATTTTCAAATTTGTGCATGCAAAAAATAAATAAATAAATAAGTTTAACAATTATGTACCCTACACATGACCTCTACCTCTATCTAAAAAAGGTCTTTTAAGTCAAATATCTCTATTTCTCGACAATAATTGAAAAAATAAAAAGTAGAAAGGCAAAAAAACAAAAGCAAAGAGAAGAAAATAATCGTCATTGCCGCCCCACCACCTCCACCATCATCACTAATCTCTATCCCTCTCCCCACTCCCCATTTACGTCGTTTGTTCTTACGAATTCATTGGCCTTGCTTATCTACTCACTTCTAAGAAATGAAATGGAGATTATTCAAAATCTTCACAAGAATTTAGAAGGTCAAAATCCCAACAAAATTTAACGTTTGTAGAATATGTTGAGCAATCATTTTTCTTTGAAAGAGAGAGAGAGGGGAAGAAAGATATGACGCATTGGTTTTAAAGGAAGTTGAGGTTAAACCCTTGTAAAGGCTTTATAAAAGCTAATATGTATGTTTTGTTGTTTAACAATTTCTTTGAACTTCTACATACTAGTAGTACAAGTTTAACTCTACTTAAAAGTTACGTTTTTAGAATTTAAATCTTAACTCATGCTCGACTACCGTTTATAATTTTTTTATAAACGATCAAACCACTTTCTGTCCACCTATTTCATAGAACCCATAAGTACTAACCATTTATCCACCATTCATCATTTATACACAATTAAACATCAAAAACTTCTTATGAGAAAACAAAACAAAGTACAAGCTAAGACATGAGATGATATCAACTTTCAGCTTTCGAAAATGCCCTTCACATAAACCATGCCTTTTTCACTAAACTGGAGCTCCTTTCTCATTTGCTCCAGCTGTTGATCATCACCTTGAACAATTATCTCCGATAGAGTTCCGTCGTCTCCTACTATCATTTTGACCTTGATCTGCTCCTTTCTAGACGCTTTCGTCCAATAATACACTCCCCTGATCCATTTTACACATTAGACGATCTAATCTCAGTTACGAGTAAAAAACAGAGTTAATAACCCAAATGGTCACTAAACTTTGCAAAAAGTTTTCACGAGGTCACTTTACTTTAAAAATCACCCAAATCATAACTAAACTTTGCAGAAGGTTTTCACGGATTAGTAATCCCCGGGAAATCTTTTGCAAAATTCAGTGATAAATTGGGTGATTTTTAAAATTCTGTGATCCTGTGAAAACTTTTTGCAAAGTTTGGTGACCATTTGGGTTACTAACTTTAGAAAAACCAAATATCTCATTAAGGCTTATTTGACTTACGCTAGAGGACTTAATATGGTCAACCAGAACCAACTGTTTCCTATGTCGGGAAGAGTAATTGTCAAAACAAGGGCGACACTTGCCAGGCTTATGCATGTGCAAAAAGTAAGCAATGCTGCTTGGCCACGGCTTGGAACCATCGTACCTTCAAACCTAAAAGTAAATGAAACTATCAGAAACATGCAACGCAAAATCACAGTTTTATAATGGTGGGTTTTCAGTATGAAGAAAATAAATTTTACGATGGCGATCTAACAACTTTCAGTGTAAATCTAACAGAAAACGGGCCCCTAAATCATTTGTACATGTACATAGTTAATGCAACCCATTGCTGCTGGTTGAGTATAACCAACAATAATAGAAGAATTACCAGTCACTTTTCAAACAAAAGAGCATCCAGAAAAACATGGCTTTTTGGACATCATTATACATGGAAGAACTTGAAAACTTCTCCTAAGCTACTATTTAGCGATAAATTAACATTGACTATGATGATTAGCATGACATTTACCAATTACACGAGCTAAGAAGGAAAATATCAATTGAAGTAGACAAGCGCATGGTATTTTAGGGGTAGTGTAAATTCTCGATAACCATTGGTCATATTTCATCTACAGAAGGGAAAATGTTACCATTCAGAAATTTACATATGCAAGGTTCTTACAAGAGATTTGTTTTCACACCCTACTTTTTACGGATGGAATTAGTGGCTTACGTTATCGTATCTCCTCTGTCCAACACTACGAAATTATTCCTGGTAAAGAATGAAAGAATTTCTCCTGCCACCCGGTTAGGCACCTTCTTCCCCTCCCCTTCTCCTATGAATGTCTTTTGCACAATCTGTTCTATGAACGAAGACACCAATTAGAATATTTCCAAGTAAATAAAGCAAATAAGAAAATTGATCAGAGATGAAGAAAATAAAGTAAGACTGTCAATCTATTAATAGCATGTTTGAATAAGCTAGAAACATAAAATTTACTTTTAAATAACATCAAGTTTCCAAACCTGATGTTTGGATAACTTGATTTTATCTTAATTTAAAGTTAAAAAATAAAAAATAAAAAACCTTATTTTGCAAGTAAATCTAACCTTATGTCAAAATAAATAACTTATGTCTTACTTTGACTAATGAAAAAGTTTTTTTTATTTTATAACTTATAAGTAAAAATATAAGCTTAGCCACACATGCTTCTTAAACTGCGTTTTGGCAAAATGATGCATGATAAATGGAGGTAAAAGTGTGGTACCTTAGATTTAACTGAACGCTTGATAAGGGACCAAAGTCCGGGAACGGAAATGATAAAGAGGCCAAGAGAAGTGTAGTAACTGGCCAATGAGTAGCCTGCCGTATCTGCCAGTAGGTAAAGAGACTGTGGGTTCCGGTGTAAATGCTCCAGAACAGCTGAAGAAGTGGATGATAGAATCTCGTTGTCGAGGGAAGATGACACTCGAAGTACAAGGCTTCTGTTTCTCATCGTCATGCGTCCACGTCCAGGCCATGGATGAATTTGGAGCTGGTCTTGGGTCGGAAATGTGCATCGATAAGAGAGAGGAGAAATTAGCAGCTTCGTCGCCATGGCTGATGATTCAGAAAGCAATAAAGATTAATCAATTCTTTCATTGCCAGATTATTTTTATAATTTGTGTAACGTTCATCTGATCTATGTGGTTCAAAAATAGTCACATTCGGCTTCTTGGAATAGGATTGCATAATGAATCAAGTTGCTTAAATTCAGGTTCAAGCTTGAACACTTACTAAAATTCACTAATCAATTTCAAGCCTATCCAAGAAATTATACAGAAAAGTACCGAGTTTACAGGGCTCAACTTGTAACTACTTCATTGAAAATCAAGCCACATTTCTGTTAAATATCTCATTTAAAAATTAGGTTAAGTTTGAACAGTCTATCTTTTCAGCTTGAGTCAGTTTAAGTGATGGCCACACTTCTTCATTTTGACAGATAAACAACTTATTTACAATGAACACTTACTCTATCTGATTTAACATTGCTATAATAAAGAATTCACTGCAAATGAAAGATGTAAGGATTCAAACATAAAATGAAAGGAAAAATAAACAGTCATCAACAATGAATTCAATTATGTCATATTTGGTACACAGGTGGACGGTATAAATTATAATTGACGAGATTTTAGATTCTTTAATATTCTTCGATCCCGTCTATTAGTGAATCCCAAATGTGCCATTAAATGGCAAAAGAAAAACAGCCCAGAAGCAGCCCCCAAATAGTAAAACAACATACATATCATATTCTATAGGATTTGATCAAATCGTTCAAATTTTTGGTGAAACTAGAAAAGATAGGGGTTTTTTTTTTTTTTTTTCCAATTGTATTCTTCAGTCAATGAAATCGAAACCCACATGATTGATTACCATCACAGGCGATAATGGAACTAAAGCAGTAAAGTAATTACCCGGATATTGATTCCAAAGGCCAATTGAAGTTAAAAATTAGAAAAGAGAGAATTTGCACAAGCATTAACAAACAAAGGGGGAATACAAGTACCTGCAGTGAACAAGGGAGTGTTCGGTTCGAATGGCTTTTCAACAGACTCCGAAGAGAAAGAAGGGGAAACGGGATGAGGAAAATCAATGGCTCAGTTTCCCTTTTCTCACACACATAAGATATGGCCAGGATACGATATCGGTAGCTTATATGTGTGCCGGGAATTTAAAATTCATAATTCATTTGTCAACCAATTTATTATTAATTTAGGGAAAATTGCAGACACGGCCCTAAATCTTTCAAGTCTTTGCAGGTTTTACCTTAACATTTTATTTGTTGCACCCGTTGTCTCAAACCTTTTAAATACGATGGAGGACAAATGACGGTTCACCCCTTTTCAACCTAAGCAAAGTAGGCGAAAATCTTGTTTCTAGAAGTTACAAGATATTGACGAAGGAAAAGAGGTGAGTAAAGAGAGGGGGAAGAATTCAAGTATTAGCCCAAAATCGAGAAAAACTATCATAAATTCTTGAGTTTTATCAAGGCAGGTTGTTACTACAGTTGGATCCAGGAAGGTTTGTGAAGAAAGAGGATCAAATGGTGAACTCAGTTCATCCCATTGGCGATGGCAATACTTTTGGTTTTGTAGTAATAGGTTGGATGGGTTGAGTAAGACGGAGGTGTGGTTTTGGTTTTTGATTTTTTTTTTTTTTTTTAATAGAGGGTGTTTGGGAGTAATTTTTCACCCCCAAAAAATTGATTGTTTTACCATTATTTCACTATTCCAGCCGTATAGTTTGACTTCTTCTCTTATAGGTGGTCCCACTTTTCTTTTAACGGTCAAAAAATCAATTCTCAAAATCACTCTCAAACGGAAACTTATTTAATTATTATAATTGTGTTTTTGTGAAAATATAAAACTATCATTTTACCCTTTTAAAAATTGGTCAAATATATCAAAATTCACTATTCTAAGCAACTAAGGGTATGTCTGATTGGCAAATCTTTTCCATGGATTCCATTTTCTCACTTTCAAGTGTTTGATATTGTTTTTTTTTTTTTTTTTTTTTTTTTTTTTTTTTTGGCCATGGAATTCAAGTTCCATGTTTTCTTGGAGTTTGGACTTTTCTAGCTTTTTATTTTCTCAGTTACTGTAGCACATATGTATTTTTCTTTTCCTTTTTTTTTGGTTGGCAAAGTTAACAAATTCTAAGAATTATTGTAAAAAAATATTTCTCTTTAATTGTCAATTTTTATATAAAACAAAGTCAAACGAACACCTAAAGATAGATATTTTTTTGAATTTTTTGTTTTTTTTGTTTTTTTTTTTTTAGCAATGGAAACAAATTTCATCTCCAACACTAGTAAATTATATTTCTTTAATTGACAATTTTCATATAAAATAAAGTCAAACGAACATTAAAAAAATACTTTTATTTCAACATTTTCCACGTGCAAATTTATACCAATCAAACACAATAATTTACAATTCCTAGGAAAATAATTTCTAGACAATTCAATTCCCTGAAATTCGTTTTCAATTCAATTCAATTCCATCTTTGCAATCAAACGGATTCATTTGATGCCCAGTCACGCACATTTGAAGGTTTATAACCATGGGTACAACAAATAAAAGATTAAGATAAAATCGACAAATAATTAAAAGCTATGAAGTCGTGATTGCAATTATCCCAATAATTTATGAATTTAGTTAAAATTAAATACATTCATAATAATTACTACTAATTTACTATTCCTTTTTATAAATTGATTTATAATTTTTTTTTCCAATGAACCTTTAACTTTTACTTCGTAATCGAAATGTATTTTAAACCAATTTTCAATTATGGTTGAATCGCTCATCTGATTTAATTTTTGACAAGTTGATCATTAGTATGTATTTTTGTAGCACTCTCGTTTTTTATTACTCTATAGTGTAATCCTTGTAAAGAGTGTCCTTGTTATAAAAGTACTATTTCCATAAACAAGTCATTCTTTATTACATTTTTTTAAGTAAAAAAGCCCACCTTTCATTGCACCATTTCACCAGAAATAATGTTTATTTCGAAACGAACAAAAGCCTCCTTGGACAGGACGTGGGCGAGGGCAGATCCAAACATTCTAGGTTAGGAGATCACAATCAAATTTTCAAACAGTGGATAAATTGTAAATAGTAATGACAGTTCGCAGTCGACAGATTGAAAGAGAGACAATGGCACAAAGTTGAGTTTAGAGCTGTCAATTACATTATACACTTATAACGTAGGTTTTAAATTATTATTTTTTTCCAAAAAATGGGGATCAATTGACCATATAGGAAGCTCCCACCCCAAGTCCGCCCCTAGAGGTGGGTCCCTTGATTTGCTTCTCGACTGATCATTGAGCACTTGAGCTTGTAGAAAGAGTATATATAGGTGATTGAGCACTTGATTTGCTTCGCGAAGGTTTACCCAATCCGCACCCAAAGGGTAGCGACTGCAGATTCTCTTGTCATAAAAAAAATGTATATATATTTGTCGCACTTCTGTTTCAACTTTTTTTGTCTCACTATTTTGATTGATCTCTCATTAATTACTATTTTTTTTTTACTTGTCAACGGTTTCCATTCAAATATCTTTAACATTCTTTGGAATGCGGAACAAATATTTTTTTTTTAACTTTTATATTTGTTTTAATTTCTCCTTATTTATAAATGTTGAACAAATAAACCTTTTTATTCCTCTAAGGGATTTTTGTAAGACAACTGACATAATGATAAATGTGTAGATTAATGAAATGTTGTGATATATATATATATATATATATATATATATATTCACACAATAACATAATTTTTATTAACACACCACATTTAATTCCATTAAAGTTATTCAAATTTTACTCATTTTCACACTTACGTTTCTAAGTTTTTTTTTGTTGAATTTTAATCATTCACCTTATAACGATCTGTTCAAATATTCTATTAGATGAAGAAGTATTTTATCGAACATTTGTATTTGTTGTTACCTTGGTTAATTAAAAAATACGAGGAAGAAATTAAGTTTTCTATGTCTTTCATTTTTGGTTGTCATCGTGGACAAAATCTACTACTTTACTTAATAGAATGTTGATGATAAAAATACAACGATAAAAGTTTATAACATAAAGGCAAAAATAAGCAACAAGTAAAAATCTTCATAATTGTAAATTATATGTTTATTAGCTAATTCTTTCCTATAAATATAAGGCTCTGGTTCCTAATAAAATACATAAAATTCAATTTACTTCTCTCTTTTGTTCTATTTTTCTCTCTAATTTATAATACGTTATCACCAGAAAGTTTTAGCCAATTAAGTAGGCAAATTTTATTCTCTTTCTACTTTCAAATCTGTTGTCAGTTGAAGTATAATTTTTTTTTTTTCCCTTCAATCAAATCAATACAAGAAGTTCTAGCAAATTAAGTTTGTAGAGAAACTCCTTTAATCTGCTTTAAAAAAATGTTACTATTAGCTTAATTTTAAATTACATAACAAAGCGAAAATAGTTATTAGATATGTTTATATTGATTTGAATATATCAATTTGATATAGATAACTATTTACATGAATGTAATTTTTTCGCTCAATATTCTAGTACAATATTTCAGAAGAATATTATATTATTATTATTGAAGAATAAACGATCTAAATCGGTCAAAAAAAATATTGTAGCATTGCTTAAAAATGAATATGATATTTATATTATTTTGTTGCTTCTGAAAAATCACAAATTCCCACATACAATATTTAAAATAATATAGTATTATTACTTTTGAAATGTATAATATTTTTTATATCATATTCTTGAACAGATTTTTGTTTCTAATTGTGCTTCCTATGTAACACAATTTACAATTTTATTAATATTTCTAAAAAATATTGCCCTAATTTGGCTCCCATTAAATTATATTTCATTTATCTCTCTCCTATTTTCAATCACACATTCTTCAATAAAATTATATAACACGTAAATCGAAAGTTTTTATTTCTTTTTCAACCATTCATTTTAAAATATATATATACTATTTAACCCATTTTCATTTCAAAAAATGAGGGGCAAACAGGGGCATTATGTAGATTTGAAGAAGCACTAATTGTGACTGCATGTCTTATTTTTTTATTCTTGTATTTCATTTGATTAATTATCACGTTTTTTATTCTTTTTGATACGTAGTATAATTTATAATTTTGGCACTCTTATATCTGCCTATTACAAAATATTGGTGCTCCTAAAATAATACATATTTTAGTTAGATTTCATTTGCTCTCAAAAAATATAATTAAATACAATCTAACTTAAATTATGTTATCATATATAATAATATGTTTTTGCTCTTGAATAAGTAATAGTAAAATACAATTCATGTCATGTAAATAGTAAATAGTAATAGTAAAATAATTATGTTTTTGCTCTTGAATGATAATATACAATTCATGTCATGTAAATATCAATTTTTATATGATTATATCATAGCTAATTATATTTTCAAGAAATAACTATGTCTTTTATTTGATTAAATGATTATTCAAACGACAAACATTATATTGCATCAGAAGTTCAATTACTAAATGTATTATTGTTTGACATGACCAGCTAGGTCATCACTGCATTAATAGTGATGTAAAATCAATAATTTAAACATTTAACGAAGAACTAGAAAAATTTTCAATTTAATAAATTATTATATAATGTTTGTTCTTTTTATTAAGAATTGATCATTACTTATTACTAATCAAAATAGAGACTGAATTTTCATATTTCTGAAAATTAATTAAGGTTAATATGGGGCATCGTCGCCCTCGATGTTGACCATTTAAATATTATTTTTATCTAATAAATTTGATACATCTACTAAATGATCGTAAGGTGTTCGCCACTTGAAATTTGTGAAATTACTACTTAAATTTTAAATTAAGAGTATAGTTTTTAGATTATAACATCAACACAGTGTGTCTTGTAAAAACTGGTGAGCCTAAAACTCAACATTTTTAATAAGTGTTAGTAGGGATATCGATAAATGATTTAACATTGTTGCTTATTAACTTGGCTTTTGATCAAAAGTTAATTTTTTTTCATCTAATATTTGGATAGTGCAGTATATGTAAAATTGATCCACAACAATTAACTGAGATGGAAAGTAAAGAATTCTGAAAATAAATGAGTAATTTGAACATTATCTCAAACCATTGATATTTTATAAAGTGGTTTACTATTGTTAATTTGATTGTTCAATTTTTCTTAGCATTTGGTGGAGGAATCAAGAAATTGGAGATAATTTACAAATATACCATTAACTAAATTCTCGTAAAGGATAATTCGAACTAGAAGTTCGAAAAATAATTTATTTAGATGCATTACTGATCAAAGAAATTAACAATATCTCACATACTAGATCTAAATGCTCCAACTCAAATAAATGTTTCTAAAGGATAATTAGCTAATATCATATTTGATAAATTTATGGGATCAAGCGTGATCATATTCGATTTTAATACAAAAGATCTCTAAATGAAAATAGAGCAATTGGCAAAGATGGTCTCATTAAGGAGATATATACTCTTGATAAATATTTGGACATAACAAATTATGAATTCTCAAAAGAGGTTCAAGTATCTATATGTTGAAAGTTGAGATATCGCAATAAATTATGTCATTATGAGACAAGAAATGAAAAACAAAAAAAAAAATGATATCGACAACATTTTTGCACATGATATACTGAATTATATATAGATGGTGAGGAATTGAAATAAATTTGACCAAATATATAGATCAAAGCAACAATTGGCCAAAATAAATGAACATAATCCTAATAATTTACTAGAAAAATCTAAACTTTCTACAGTCTGAATATCTAAAGGTGTATATTTATACGAAGCGAAAATAGGAAAAGTAAAGTTGTAATATGAAATGTGCGACTCTTTACATAATGAATGTCGCGAAAACTTATATAAATAGATGAATTATCCTATGATTGGCGTGATCACAATTCTATTTTATTGGTCTTACAATACATGGAATTTGATATGCATATAATAAATTTGATTATAGCCAACTCATTTGACATGATTATTAATGTTACCTTGAAAGATTTAATATGTTTTAAACATATAATTCAAGTAATATTACCATGATTGAGAATATATGCACGTTGTGCTTTTTCCATGGACCAATATTTGTCGTATTGAATTTTCCTGACAAGATTTTTAGCAATACAACTTTTATAACATATTTAAAAGAATAATTTACACTTTTTCCTTCATTATGATCTTTTCCACAAGATTTTTTTAACAAAAATTTATCGAAGCATATTCTTTGTATAATGAATATTCTTAACCTAAAAGTAATTTATCCTCAAAATAATTCTTTTATATTATGAGACTTTCGAAAAAATCAACAAGAGTTATTTTTTCAAATTATCACGTTTCTACAGTTGTCAAAGGTTTATAAATGTATCATATGTAGAAGGTATTATTTGAAAACTATACGAGATAACCCAAGACATACACCAAAAATCACAATATTGAAAATATTGACGTATAAGACAATGATGAATTTATACAAGAATTGAAATTAGGGGGTAGCTGTATTTTTTTCCTTCAATCAAACTTTGTCATGTTGAGTTTTTTTTACTAAGTTTTAACGAGACATATGTTTTATAAAGCGTCATCTAAAGGAGAGTGTTGTAAATTATATATTTATTAGTGAATTTCAACTATACCTTTGCAGTCCTAATTTTTATAAACATTGTATCGTTGATTCTTCTTTATAAATATGTGACTTCAGTTCTTAATAGAATATACACAGTTCGATTTACTTATCTCTTTTGTTCTTTTTCTTCTCTCTAATTTATAATATTTATTAAATGATTAATGCAACAAAATCTGTGAATAAAAAACTATTTCAACAATAAAACCACCCTCTATTATTTGAACAAAAATTAATTATTTAGGTACTTTAAAATTACTTAACTACAGATATATAAGCTTATCCAAACACGCTCCAATTGCCAATTGAATTACCCCATCCCCAATCTGTTCGTCTGAACAAAATTCGAGCAAAAACTGAACAAGAGAACCTGAAATGGAGGGGGCTTCTCTAGCGTTCACTACAGCCTCATCAGCACATTCAACTTTCCTTCACCATAGGCCAACCATTTTGGAACAATCCCACACCAATTCCTGCATATTACATCCCATAAGTTCGCCCATTTCAAGCAATATATGTAGAACAAGAAAAGGCAAATTTTCAGTGAAAGCAGTAAATCAGAGTTCTTCTTCGAGAAATCAAACTTTATCGAGTAGCTGGGATGTCTCAAATTATGCAGCTCCTTCATGGCTACCCAGATTCGAAGAGCTTGACACCACTAATATGCTCCTTAGACAGAGAATTATCTTCTTGGGTACTCAGGTTCGCAATTTGATTTATCATTAATTGGATTTTGGATATGTGCTTTTTGTTTCCTTGTCATGCCTAATTGTTCTTCATTTGGATACTCGAGTTCTATTTGGTTTTAATTTGGGTTTCGGTTTGATTATCCATATGCATATACTCAAGCAATTTACTTGGGAAAATGATATTGGTAATGGATTGAAAACGCTAACTCTAATTCTATGTTGGTCATTAAATTTCATTTTGTTAACAATTTGGTAATTTTGTCCATGCCTTTTAATTTTACTGACGAAAAAGCTGATCTGGAAGTCTAGATTTTGACTTCTGATGTGGGTTTTTGTCTACTTGCTTGTTTTTCATTTGGGCTTTCTGTTATTATTTTGATTTACATTTATTTTCTTGGCCCGATGGAGTAGAGATTGCATTCGAATTGGTTCTATTTAGGGGTTTCCTTATCATTATCCATACACATACTTTCAAGCAATTTATTAGGGGGAAATGCTATTATAATGGTTCAAAGTTTGATATTTAGAGTATGCTTTAATACGGAGATGGGATATTGGAGTAGGTTGTGAAGTTTTAAGACGTTTCACACAGTTTTCAGGCAGAAGATAAACACAAAATCACCCATGTTAACTTTTTATGAAGGCATCAAGATTCTTAGTTGTTACAGTTGTATTCAGCTTTGGCTAGTGGGATGTGCAATTCGAACGGATTAATTCTATTATGGAGGACTTGTTTCATAAAGTTATAATAGTATTAATTATTATTACTATTACTACTGCTGCTGCTATTATTATTATTACTTTTCATTTTGAAAAGAAGAGGATGTAGATCTTGACCTTTTCTTTTCTGGTTAATAATGTTGATGGACAGATAGATGATGAGACAGCGGATTTCATCATAACCCAGCTGTTATTGCTAGATTCTGAGGACCCGAAAAAAGATATCAGATTGCTTATTAATTCACCCGGTGGTTCTGTTACTGCTGGTGCGTGAATCGTTAGTGCTATTCTGTTTGGAGGCCATACAGAGTTTGCTTAATATTCTCCTCGTATATTTGGATATATTGGAGTTATTAAATTGTGAAAATTTATTTTCTGTTACTCATAAAATTGAAATTGTTATCCAAGAACAAAATGTGGAATAATCTTTTCAGTTGTTTACTTCTTTATAGCCATCACAGCCTGTGGAATGGCAAAAGCAACAATATTTACTATCACTTGATGTAAGAGCAAATCACAAGTGTTTCATTTTTAAGAAAAAGGCTTAAATATTATGTTCTTACTTCTTGCGGACTGTATAATGTGGCCGTGTTAGTATCCATCCACCCAATGTGAACTTTTAATTTGTTCCAAATATTGAAGCATGCACACAACATTGATACCTATCTTTCACCTTTAAAGCATAGTCTAATCCAATCACACTAAAACGTGTACTTTGTTGCTTCTAGTGGTTTATATATAACTATGACCCACACCCCATTCCTGAAGAGAGAAGAATGTACTCACAAGCTTGTACTCCTCAGTACTCAGGAACTCACAAATGAGGGCTACTGGTTAATTATATTATTCTTTTTTTTTCCTTTTTTTTTCCCTGTCTGTATGTGAGTTATTATGCTTGTTCACACATGCAATCCATATGAATAATGTGTGTTCCTTAAAGTTTTGTCCTTTTGAAGATTTTTAGTATTTGATTAGGTGTCAAAACATTTGAAAGTCAATCATCTCCACCTAGAGCATTTGGAAAGAATTAAGGCAAGCCTTTTATTTAGATTTTATTTTCATTGAGGTTTCTACTCGATTATCTAGGATATTTACTGTGTTTAATGCTTATCTGCTGAAAGAAGTTGCTTGTCCTTTGCTTTCAAGCCTATAACTTTTTAGGCGAGCATTTTCAAATAGTGAAGTCCATCCTTCGAATTGCTGCTTGTAGGAATGGGCATTTATGATGCAATGAAATTGTGCAAGGCTGATGTTTCTACCGTCTGCATGGGCCTTGCTGCATCCATGGGTGCATTCCTCCTTGCCTGTGGTAGTAAAGGGAAAAGGTTTTGCATGCCTAATGCGAGGGTCATGATCCATCAACCTCTTGGAACTGCTGGGGGCAAAGTAAGTGCTTTTATTTTTTTCCTTTTCTACATTGGTGGCTTCTGTCAGTTTCTATGCTCGTTATTCCATACCTATTGTATTTCGGGAATGTAAACTTACCTTTTCTACATGACGTAATGGTAGACTCGAATCATTGAGCACTTGAATGATTTCAAACATGACAATATCCTTCCCCTCATCTCTACTCTTTCCATTTATACCCACATACAAGCATATCAGTTGATGTTCCGAAAGCTCGTTTCTACCATTTTTTCGTTAAACAGTGGTCTCAGATATACCTACGTTACCCCTAGTCAAGTTACCCTTTTGTAATAAACCCATTCTAAGACTTAGATAGTTGCCTATTTACATGGGTCTGACCAAGAAAAAAGAGCTTTTACATTGCATTGACTTAACCTAGAACCTGTTTTAGTGAAACCAGACTAACTGAAAACTTATTTATAAATGTGCCGAGGATAATCAAGCCACAATCATATCGATCACTAAGACCTGTTTGGTTCTTACCCGACACAATCCTACCAAGCCAATAGAAAATTGGATAATGTCAAATTGGTTCTAGCATTAAAACCAAAACTAAAATACACCATACATCGAGCAAGCATGAAAATTTCAAAACTACCTTGAGCGCCTAAGACATGAACTTGCAGTGCAAACAACTTATTATATAAAATAATCTGGAGTATACTCCCTTAACCACCAAGTGCATACTAGATAGGATTGTTAGTATCATGAACAAGAATTTAATTTCTTTATAATATTGTCCAATGCTATCCAATTATAGTTACCAAACATGTTAAAGAGTATTTTCTTTTCATATTTTTTACATGATGACCATCACTTTTTAGGTTCCCCCAGCCGATAACTCCTATTTATCCAATCAATTGCTACTATGAAATTTTACCTTCCTCATAGAGTCATTATTTTTGAAATTTTGCATCTGAGCATTATTACAATCAGTCTTTTTGTGTTTGTGGCCTGAAGGCACCTTCCCCTTTTTCAAGTACATACCACACACGAAATGAAGCTCTATCACTGGTGAAATGGTTGTTAAGTTGCAAACCAGCTCCCCTAGATGAATTATTCAAGAGGATATTGTTTTATGTAGATGAAAGTACTTACTACAGACTAATTCTAAAATGATGTAATTTGTTTCTAGGCGACAGAGATGAGCATACGCATAAGAGAAATGGCATACCACAAAGTTAAGCTCAACAAAATACTATCTCGAGTCACAGGGAAGCCTGAAGAGACGGTATAGTCATCCAAATCCCAATCTCAATTTTGTTTTTCAATCTTGACCCTTTAACTACCCTTTGGGGAAGTTTTTGGCAAATTCTTGAATTTCTATGAATTCATTTGCTCGCTATTTTCTATTTCCTCGCAGATTGAAGTGGATACTGATCGTGATAATTTTATGAATGCTTGGGCGGCAAAAGAGTATGGATTAGTCGATGCCGTTATTGATGATGGCAAACCAGGACTCGTCGCACCCATTGCAGACGTGTCACCTCCACCCAAAACCCGGGTATGGGATCTTTGGAAAATAGAAGGCAGCAAGAAAGCCAAGAAGAATTTGCCATCGGAAGAAAAGATTTCGCAAAATGGATATGCCAGTGAGCAGAGAAATGATGACGACAGAGGTACGGAAAAGGAAGAGGAAGCACCTGCGCCTATATGAGGCTCATGGCGGATAAAGGGAAGAGGAAGCACCTGCTCCTATATGAGGCTCATGGCGGATATTTCTTGTACACGCTGTAACATTGAACAGCTCAGTAGTTCTTTTTATGTGTAGTTGAGCATTATCTGAATACAAAGAAAATGTGAAATTCAAACTAGGACTGTTTTTTGTTCTTTTCCTTCTCAGTTTTATAATGAAAACTGATTCTTCTGTTTCTCGAGTTAAATGGGAAGATCTAAACTTTCTTCCATGCAAAAATGAATAGTCTGATATTTCTTTCTTCTGTTTTATGTTGAAAAAAAAAAAAAAATTGAATTTCTGATGATTCTCTTGATCACAGCCCTATGAAATGCTGTACACAGTGGGATATAATTAATAAAAGTTCAACTTTCATTTTTGTCCTTTATCTTCTTTAGCTGATGTTTGACGTCCATTAGAAAAGTGTGTTGTTCGGGAAAATGAATTTTGAAATAGTGATTTTTTGAAGAATGTGATTAAAAAGTAGGAAAAAATATTCGTTTTACGTGTAAAATATTTTAGTGTGAGAATGTGGTTAAAAATGAGTTTGGAGTGGGTTGATGGTTAACAAATAGGGGGGGTTTCAAAATACAAAATGACTTCAACAGATGTCCAACACCATCAAAGCTAATCTGAACTGTTCCTCATAGCAATAAAAATTAATCACCCCTCCGTATTGAAGACTTGTATTTTGCAATTCATGATCAACATAGAGGAAACCATAGGCGACAGTACTGGGTCGAATTTATTTGAAGATCATCTACACACATCTTAGTAGATTCTGTTCTTTAGAGGCATAGATATGAATCCAACTCATTATAAATAATATGTTTTGCGATTAACATCTCCATCTATAGATAGTATCATTTCTAGTACCAAGTAACAAAATATCTAGAGAATAGGAGTACTCCCAAGCACCAAGGGAAAAAGGGCCTTTGGATTTAGAGTGAGATCATCCACAAATCTTGCAGACATTTTCACAAGTTAATGCAAAAAGTAAAGGCAACAGCAACAAATCAAGATAAGGAAAAATTATTTGCAGGTGCAGAAGAACTTAAACTGCATTTCGAAGTGGTAGGATCTATCCCTATGACTAGTCACAGTTGTAGGCAAATTATGAAATTTTTTGATGGCATATCAATTTCTAAACCAAAAAATTGGCATCTGCAAATGCCTTTATTTTCCTTATCAGTAATAAAGTGCAGTGAAACTTGAAAAAATGACTACAGTAGGTGATGCACATAACAAGTAACCAAATGATAAACTCAATAAAATATTCAGAAGTCAATTTCAGAGAAGCAGAAATATTGGCAGGTAAAAAGATGGGGTGAAAGAAAAAATTGTATCCTCGTACAAGTCCTTCATCTCATACCATGACCTTTTCTTTTAATATTTGCTTAATTTGCTGCCTTGACATGAGCACATGCTAATCATCCCTTTCTTATTCCTTTTTAACGAAGTTCTCTGATATATTTTTCTTCTCTCTTTAAATATTCAGTGACTCTAAAATGCAGAACTTAACCAAGATGTATGGATTTTTATTTTGATCAAGGAGAGATGAGAAAAGTTCAAATGCAGTGCATGGACTAACTATTTTAAATTAAGGAAACGTGCCTGAGCTTTTGAAGTCCCCAATTTCAATTCGTTCAACTTCAGCCTGCACAATTACACACAATAAAAGTTCCATTTATTAGTATGACAGTCAGAAGCAGCAAAGACAGAAAAAGAGAACTTTATAATCAGAAGAGAATTCCTTTTCCAATTTTGTTCTTGTTGGGAGATAAAGAAAACATGAATGCACAAAAATTCTGAAAAGGCAAAGATCGTCTGTTGAGCTCTAGATTGTTACAAGTTCCCCTTTTTGCAGTGCAACAAAGACATCAAAAGAAAGAAGAATTCTGTCAAATCAAATCATCTTTGTGCTCATGCAATATACCAGGATACTTTATTTTTGTTTTTTCAAAAAGTAACTTCTAAGTTCAAAATATGACTCCAGATCTTTATACCCTATAAACCATACATTAGCCCATAAAAACTAGTTCTAGAAAGAGAACCTACCGGCATCACATGAACTGCCTCTTTGTTCGGAGGCTGATATTTAGGCACTTTCCCAACTGGTGGTGAACTTGCATCAGAAGGTCCAGCTGATGCAGCTGCTGTAGTTATAGTTTCACCCTGCATTCGATTATGCCTCAACCGCTTTACAGCACGATGTAATCTCTCTAACCGAAAAGACTCACCGTCAAAGAAAAGAACAGCATCATTTTCCTTGTAATCCTCACTAATGCCCTCAAACGTCACTTTTGGTTTCCCCGGTTGGTTGTTTTGGAACTCAACAGTAACCTTATTATCCTTACTTTTGTGCAACGTGCCACGCTGATTCTTATCAATCGAGGCTGGCTTAAATTCATCTGGGAAAAAGGGAAAACAATTTAGAGAGAGCGATAATAATACTTCTGCTACACCCGACACAATCCTGAACTTAAAAAAGGAGAAATAAAAGAGGAACAAAAACCAAAAGCAATTCTCCACGTGCTAGGCTCTCATGGAGAATTCAATTAGGAAAAAAGTTTCTCCACATGGTCGTAATAAGCACTTTTAAAGATGAATATTGTTGAATTTTGTGACAAAAGAATTCCTCTATCAAGAAAATAAGCCATCATGAATGAATTACTTCTGATTAGACATTGAGGGTGCTTAATTTTTCCACCTCGTTCATCTCAAAAAACACGTGTCTGTTGATTTACAAAGGCTGTGTTTAACAACCATTCTTCCACATTTTTTTCTACAGTACTCATTTTCAACAACACATTCTTTATTAAAAATAATATTACACGTAAATCAAAAACTTTTCCTTCTTTTTTAATCACACATTTCCACATCAATCCCTATTCCATAATACATTATTCACAAATAACGGGGCACAAACACCCCCAAAATCTCTCTCTATTTAACACTCACTTTCTGCACATCCATTCAATCCTTTCATTTTGCAGTTGAAGCTATTCATAAACTCATAAAAAACCATAGAACATAAAAGGAAAAAACTGAAACAGCATGCTTCTCTGGCATTCAAATCCATATTCTTGGTGTATGTATGTGTATATATATATACACACAAAAGTTAGTACAACAGGGAGAAAAAAGCACAGCAACACTAATTTGCTCCTTCAAACTTTTCATCAACCAAACATATCCCGAAACAAACAACAAAATATTTCATCATAAAGTTGAAAAAGAATGGCCTTGCACTTGATCACTACAATGCATTCAATTACCACAAAATGCAACCTAATTCAATTACTGGAACCAAGCCAATAGAAATGTAGACTACTCTACAAGAAATTGCATATTAACCCATATGCATATGAAAGTTTATACGAGAGGAAGGAAATATGCATACAGCGTAAAGTACAGAACTTGGAGGAAGGATGGTCGTCCTTAAACGAGGAGCCTAGGGTTAGATTGTACCACCGATCGGGTTTCGGGGCTGTATTGGGCTCCTTCGAGTTGATTCCTGCCATTTTTGGCTAATATTTTCTGATCACAGAATTTTGCAAACCCTAGGTTTCGATTTAGGCGTGACGTTTGGGGATTATTTTGGGGGAGGAATACTGCGACAAACATTGCAATTTTAGACAAATTTAGGTTTGGTTATTTAACTTATAAGTTAGATTCAATTTGGTCACTGAACTTTTGTTCTGTATTAATTGATTTGTTCCAAATGGTCATTGAACTCTTTAAGCCCCCCATTTGCTCCCATCAAATTTCATTTCATTTTTCTCTCTCTTATTTTTAATCACACAATTTTCTAAAAATAATATTACACGTAAATGAAAAAAAATTTCCTTCTTTTTCAACCACTCAATTTTCAAAGAAAACACTATTTCACCCGTTTTCATTTCAAAAATGGGGGCTAAGATTAGTTCCATATCAGTCTTTGCAGTAGTCTTCATTTTAAAAGTTAATGATAAATTTTTTATGTGTAACGACTATTTCTCATATTCGAGATATGACTTAATGGATGAACATGCTCGAAATGGAGATGGGTATGATTGAATTGGATTTAGGGTGGATATTCGATCTTGATTATGGGTAATATGGAGCAAATTGCATCGCTGTCATGAACTTTAACTTTTGAGCAAAATTGTGACGATATTGTATATTAGTTAGTATTAGAGTTGGAGAACTTGTATTTGAGCATTCTGTGAAATGAATTGAATAATGCATGAAATGCTAGAAATGAGGATGGGCATCAATGAACTGATCCTTATACGATATAGGATGAATTACATGAATGTCATGCACTGTAGTCTCTAGGCAAAATGGTGACAATAACCTATGCTGAGACTTTTTTGATAAATTTTGGGGTTAATGTTATCATGTTAGTTACAGTAGACTTTTTGAGTTGGGAAGAAATTAACATTGGGTCAATGCGAAAATATATTAAAATAAATTAAAATTTAGTGATCAATGAAAATCAAATCTTAAAGTTGATTTGTTTCATTTCAAACAAAGTAAAGTTTGATGACCAAATTGAAATCTACCTATAAGTTGCGCTCGGAAAATGATATCTACCCATACTTTCAGTGACCACTCAACTTTTACCCAATTTGGTGGCACATTTGCATATTAATTATTATAGAACACGTCTTTTATATAATTAATGCCAGTAGATTTTTAGAAATGTTTTGTTTAATGAATATCCTTTTATTTATAAAATCTATGTATGAAACTGAAACTCAGAGAAAAATGAAACAAAAAAATTCATATATGCATCATTACAAATATTATTTTATGTTTTACTACATAATGTTTAAATAACTAAAAATACTTTTTTATATATGAAATATAATAAAAAATACTAACTTCTAATAATAGATCCCAAATAACAATTTGTAACCGAAATCTTTTGAATAATGCACACTTCACGCCTCATATCTAATATATAAGTCCAAAAAAAAAAATTTTGAGGAAAGAATATCAATAGCGTCCTTGGCTTACCCATGCTGTAGTTTCTTTGCTCAACTAGAAGCAAGAACTCACAAACTCAAGACAAAATATTTACAAATTTGAAGTGGAAATATGACGATAATGTCACAGAATTGAATAAGTTTTTCAATAAATTGTATTTTCTTTCATAGATTTGTCAAAACTTAGAATTTAGTTGTGTATATAAAGTGTCATTGAATAACTACAAAATCTTTATGAGAACGAGTCATTTGAATGCTTGCAATTCTGGTGATTAATTTCAAAAATTGAAGAATTTGGTCTTGCAATATTTCCCCATATTTGAGCATTATACATTTCGGGAAAATTAGGGGCTGATTACATGGTTTGTAATCCTTGCACGATAATACTAATTATTACAACTTGCGGGATATTTGTATGAAGATCAATTTATGAAAGATGTTGGGGATTTTGGGAGGAAGATGATAATCGATGGAGAGGATTTGGGAGGAATATGAATTGACAAATTTTTAGGAATTTTTAGATTAATCAATGAATAATGTTATTCATAGTGAAGTGAAACCTAACTTAACTACAAATTTTTTTTCCATGCATAAATATAATAATGTTAAAAATTAAAACTAAAAAAGAAATAAAAAAAGTTCATATAAAATTTCTTTCTCAAATTTTAGTGGGGCTTAGAATCTCGATGGCACAAACTTGACTCGGGGGGGGGGGGGGGGGGGGGGGGGGGGGGCACGCCCTGTCTTCTCTAACATCTTCTCTTTTATGATTGTAATGCAACAGTCGAATGATAAGCCCCTATTTATTAAAAACAAAAACAAAAAAAAGGCAAACTAGAAATTTACATGAACACGAATTCTTAAGTCGAAATCACAAGGACAAACTATCCTTGATGAAGCTATGGTCTGGGAGCAATAAAAGTTTTTTAGTAAATTTTAATAAAAACTAATTAAATATGTTACTGAAAAGTTGTGATTTCCGTGAAATGTATCGTTAAAATGAAATGTTGACTCTGATTTAGAATTTAACCTTTTTTTTTTAGCTGAATCAAATCTGAGCTAATTTTTATCTAAGTCCGAGCAACATAATATAATTAATTAGAAACAATTAAAACTTTAATGCGTAATTTCTGAGGAATGATATGGCTTACTTCAAGCGATCAACAACATTAGGTGGAATGACGTCGTTTCGAGACTACCACTCCAGTGTGACGTCGTCTTAATGTGCCCACTCCATTGCCAATTCAAGGAATGTGGTCTGGTCTGTTAACTTCTAACTCTCCATGCCGCTGCAATAATCTTTCTCAAGAATGGGAGGAAATATATTGTTACTTACGTTATTGACTCTCCAATATTTTAGTTCGAAAAGTCACGAAGTTACAAATTTTGTTGAATTATTTGATTTAAAAGTTGAATCTAGATATCACACACACACACATTATCTTCAACCCGTCCTCTTACGTGATTCAATTTTCAACTAGGAAAGCCTTAGTGCCTTGCGCATAAATTTTAATGAATGGGCCGCAGTAAAACTTAACCCAATATATTTGTTTACTTTGAGACGATGTTGAACCACTTAATCTAAATGTTCAAGTTATATATCGTTTAAATCTCATTTTCAACAAATTTAAGGTAACGAAACCCTAATCAAATTGTATATTCATTTCTTTTGTACATTTTGTCGCAGCTATGGGCTTAGGAAACCCTTAGAGCTCTCAATATTCCTTTAAACTTGTATTTTAGTTCCATATCCTTAATTTAAGTGAGATTTCATAACTCATAAGTAGGCGAATTTTTAACAATCGTGAGAGCCAAAAAGATTCGAAAGTATACGCGATCAATACTCCGAGCATCCAGGGCGGACCTAAACTTTTTATATTGTGGGTCAAAAATAAAAGAAAAAAAATTCAAAAAACAACATAATATTAATGAAAATAAGTCAATGTACTCCTACAACTGTAGCCTACACATTTTGATAATTGAAAACATCGAATAATTATATATTATAATACTTTCAAATGAATTTTACTACTTGTATAGTTTTCCTTAACACGTTGTTGACAGATGCTAAGTTGGAGACAAGTAAATAAATTGAATTTAGGAAGTAAATAAATTGAAATTAAGTTCAAATTTAATTTAAGAAGTATATGAAATTCAAATTACATTTAACATGTAAAGATCTTAAAATTTTTGACTGTCATACTCCATGTAAAAAATTTTCTAATAAAATGTGTAAAGAATATTAAGAAATTTGTCGTGCAAAAATAATAAACATTAATTAAATAATTGAATTTTTTAAAAAAAAAGAAAAGATGAGTTAGACTCCTTTTTTTTTGGCTTAAGTTTGGCACACGTTTAACTATTTTCAATATTAGATTCGATAATTCAATCAAACAACGATATAGTTCTCGAAACGACCATCTAGATGACGTAAGTGATTTGTAGATTTGGCTAGCGTATGTTTGTCGACAAATTTTTAAAGGTAGCATATTATCAAAATATTAGTTTAAAACGACCTTCTTTGACACGTCATAATTTTGGCAATGGTTAACCGTTTTGTGTGGCATTAACAAGTGAAAAGTAAGCCGTAGCATTTCGAAATGATATTAAGAATGCAATGTATTGATTTCATTTTACATTCCAAAAAAAA